CCTAATAGTCTTGGCAAACTCAGAATAAATTACTGGTCACCATACTATTGAATTTCGCAATGAATAATCAGCTAATGAAATCCGTTACTGTTTCACGCATTTAGTAGCCTTCAGTGAGTGTTATTCTAGCCACTCGACTGCACTAATTGTTGCAGAAGAAGTGAAGGCAGTCAACCGATCAAAAACTGTCATACTGAATATCAATCATTTCACTGTATTTTTGGATGTATTTGTTTTACTCAACTTCTGAATTTGTTTCTTTATATCTTTGACTTCAAACACTTTGGTTTCTCTTTGTCTTTGGATTGATGCTTGGACGTGGGTGCTCTGGAAACTTAGAACATTGACGAACGATATTATTTGTAAAACATGTAAAACGATGTTATTTGTAAATTACGAATAAACTCCGGTGCCCGAATGGGAGTTTGGTTATATTGTTATTTTTGGAATCGTGAGGTACATGTAAGTCGATCTGCCGTACTTCAATACTCCAACGTAAGAGAGAGAAAAGTTGAATGTAACAATAATTATAGTCTGTTCAATAGTTATTTGTGGATATATGGGTTCTGTAATTTGAGTGAATACGTTTGTCATAAGACAGTAAAGTATACGAAATCAGAAGCCGTCACATTATCGGGCAAGATGTTGGTTGACTGGAATGTGAAAAATAATAGAAAGAGCAAACTTGAGTCCAAGGAGAACACTGTTCAAAGGAATAAACAATTGGACAAGTTAGTTGACTAGTAGTCCGGACAACGTGGAAAGACTGAAGTGTTAGAATAATAGAAAAAAATAGAAATGATAACTACTAAGACAGGAATAAGGTGATGATATGTCGTAATAATATTGATCGCAAATTTGTAGACAGGCATCAGACACAGCTGGTCATTAAGATAGGAGTTAATCCAGAGGTAAGTTCGTGTTTGCAAAGTCTTCTCTTGAAGCTATCCACTAAGGGGGTTGTGGTCACTGGTGGGAGAGAATTCTGAGTGGGATATCTCTTAATGCAAAATAGCAAAAGGGTACCTGAGTTTTTCCGCTTCAATGTTTAGTCTTTCAGGAATCACTTTGGGGGCGTGGTAGTTTTCTGGTGGGATGCTCATCTTGATGTGATTTTGCATGCTTAATATGTCGTGTGCCTTTAAAAGGTCATCCCTTATAGCCCTTTAGCTTAGCTAGAAAAATCTCGTCTTCAAGTTATTTTTCATATTCATATTCTTTAGATCTATCGCACATTTAGTTGCTCGTCTCAGAATTTAGTATGAGATTTGTGTCTCTTTTGAAAAGAGTTGTGATAACAATATGGACTTCAAGGTGGGGCCATGCAAGCGTTTTAAAAAGAGATAAGAATAACAATAGAGTGAAGTTGTTTTCACATAAAATAAGGTGTTACGTTTGCTTTGGTTGCATTCTCTTTGTAGTTTGAGCTGGTGTATAAGGCGTCTCTGGTTACCATACTCAGACTACGCCCAAAAGAGATAATTGAGAGTAGATTTTCACGGAGGAGGCAATTTCATTTGTCAAATGAGACGGAATGTCTAACGCATGATATTTCGACAAGTTGTTTTTAAACCTGTAGTGGCATTAGTTTCTAACCACACTACCTTTGAAGTCGAACATGTAATTACTGAAAGGGTTTGCACTGAACAATTAACACAAAGAGAAGGTCAGTATTAATGTACACGGAGACATTCAATTCTATCGGATAGCACGGCTCAGCCGTGCAGGCGTGGTCATGCTTGTGTACCCATACATTTCCACAGTAAATATATTATTCCATCTCCAGCCAAAATTTGTTCTCCTTAAATGCTAAGTATCGTATTGTTAATTGTCATGACGCGATAAGTCAGTGTAGACAATCGCGTGATTTCTACTTAATATTTTATACATTAGGCAGTCACACTATGGCATATCAATTATCATAGTAGTACTAACTACGAACTAGACCATAATTCTACATACCTACTGTTTGCTGTTCATTCCTTTATTGGAGCAAGATGCTTCAAATACCCTTTTGCTCTTAACGGACCTCCAGATCTGTGCGTTGTCTTCACATATCAGTGACACTAATCCGATTTTATTTAAAAGGTAATTAATAGTTATCAAGAGGAGAAGTAGACTGGATGTGGTCCACTGTGAAACAGCTGACGTTGACGCTCATCAGCTCTTGTGCGCTCCACTCACCTTTGTACGAAATTTCCTGCTCCCTAGGTAGTTTCGTGGCCGAAATATGAGTCGATGAAACCCGTCTTTGCAACTTTATGATAGCGTGTAGTAAAGCGTCATAGGAATCCATGGAATACCAAAGCCTTATTCGTACAATAGAAGAAGTATAACCATAAGTGATTATCGACACCACAATCGAAGACACTTAAACATTGTCACATGGCATGCACATAGTAGATTTTCTCTCAAACGTACACACAACCATGCTTGGATCAAAAACGACATGGTTCGAGATAGTTAAATGATACTCAAAATCGAGGTTGGGTTGGGTTCTTTTGAACTTTAAAGTGCTTTATAATTCACTTGAATTATGTGCATATTACCTTCATAAACCGAAGTGATCCAAATGATTCTGTACAGGACAAACGCTTTTGCTCGACAATTTCCTTGTTTAGCTGGAATGGATCTTCGAAAATAAAGTAATCAATATGATATACTGCTTTGAGTCATACATTAATGCCGATTGAGTATCACCCCTGAAAGACAGTCAGGAAGTAGATTAGACCAATTCAACTCTCAGCTGATTTCAAAACTCGACAGCTCATGTGAAGTAGGGCGTATGCCAGAAGCGACCATGCCATTATAGCCTTTAGTTCTATCAGGAAAACTGAGCTAAGACATCCCATACAAAACAGGTGCTGGAATTTCAAACGGTTGAATGTGTCAGCTTTACAGGACAATCTAAAGCAGGTGGATTTGGAAGTTCCCCCTAAACTTGATGTGGATGCTCACTGGGATATCTTACTGCACACTATTTAATGCGCTACAAGATAGTCTGTTCCTCAAATGGTACTCAGAATCTATAAGCAACCTACACTCAGCGTGAACCGTACTCTTCGTTTGCTAAGACGCAAAAAGCATTGCTGGGCGAATTACAAACGAATTGGTAACAACAGCACATACAGGCAATACAAACATTTAAGGAACATATGCACAAAAGCAATGTGAGAAAACAGTCCCGAAAAATAACGACGGTGACGCCACTAACAGTCATTTTTAACTGAAAGCGGAGGGTTGACGCCATTTACCTTGACTACTCAAAAACTTTTGGTAGGGTCGGCCATATAGGTCTTGTCAAAAAGCTCAAATGATTGGGTATCAAACTGACTTTAATTTATCGGCTCACTTCATACATAAAAACTCAACATTTTAAGGTCAGGGTTAACTTGTTTTTCTCTCAGGCTATGGAATGTCGTGGTGGGGTTTCTCAGGATTCAGTACTACGACCTTTTTTCTTGATTTATACAAACGATATTTCACAACAGATACCGTCAGATATGTTACATTTTGCTGATTATATGAAACTCTAGAAAGATGAACGTAACCAAAGGGATAAATATTTACTTCAAGAGGATCTGACTCGACTTCAATGTTGAGCATGCTACAACGGACTTACCTTTAACACTTCGAAACGTAAAGTAGTTCGAGATTTGTTTTAGACTACAGTTACAACCTAGGCAACCCCTTTTTAGAAGTATTCCTAGTTAAAAAAGATTTAGGGATGCTAATACCCTACAATTTGAAGTCTTATACTAACTGTGACAAAAATGCTTTTCGAGCAAACCTTGCACTGATAACATTGAAGCTCATTTTTGGCCAGTCTGACGGAATAACTTTCCATATAATCTTTAACAGTTACATCCTTTCCCATACAGAGTACGGAAACACAGTATTTCCTCCCACACACTCAAAGGATAAGGACGCTCTGGAGCGTATCCAACGGCGAGCCACGAAATCAGTTCGGGGGCTCAATTCAAAAATTATGAAGAGCTCTTCCAATCACTGAATCTTTAGCCTTTAGAGTACAGGCGTCTTACAGGTGACCTTTTCATGACTTTAGGCATCCTTAGCACTTCTGGACATTCTCTTGAACACCTACTTAGGTTTTGTTTCAACAGAAATCTTGGGGGCAACACCCAGAAACTGGAGACACAACACAGCAGAACGGACTGTAGACACGTCTTCTACTCCTTAAGAGTTGTTAAATGTTGGAATTCTCTGCCGGCCGAGCCAGTCCAAACGACTTCCTAGAAGTCCTTTGGGAGAAAATGGGGCATATTATTAAGGACTACAAATAGTATTTTACTATTGAGGATACGACAGGTTATTCTAACTTTACAATTAGCTACCAGTAGCACCTATAATCGAAACCTTCTTGGCCAATAGAAATCAGAAGTCAGACGAGAAGAGGTAGGAAAGATATATTTGATACGTTATCAATGTATCGAGGAACGTTTATTCTAAGCTAACTAGTGAACGTAGGAGCAGTGTCCCACGCCGAGTTGAAACGTGATCTGGTACGGATGCATGACCGAAAGCCTTCAGTTAAACAAGTCTACTTAAACAACGTGATCAGCATCCAATGTCGAACACTTAGAAAGCTATTGATTTTGGGGAATTATTTACAGCTACGCTATCATTTACCAACATCCTTTTCCTCATTTACCGTTAATATACCTGGGTCCCTGACCGGAGGTATTGGTGATGCATTGCTAATAGATACGGAATCCTTTTAAACGAGAGCTTCTTCTATTCCATCCACAACCATTTGAACCATTTAATCACTTGACTTGAAATAAAGTCCTCTAACTGACATCGTAGCTTAGCAGTGTAAACACTGCAGAGTATTACTATTCGCCTGTGAAAAATGAGTAAACATCATAGAACACTATATGACTTATTAAGGCATTTATCTGAACATCAAAACGCAGAAAACATCAATTCCTATATAATAATTTTTTCAACCACGGATTGGAAAATTGTAGATCTCGTTTAGCTTGCGCTCGCGTTCGATTTCTGAGTTGCGCTACAATGTGCGCTCTGAACCTTGATATTGGTTCTTTCGAGAAGAGGTTATCTAAATTATATGCAGATTGGGAGGTAAAGACTTAGTTGATTTATAGCTGATTATTTCATCTCTCAAGGACCCCAATAGTGAACTTCATGATGTAGAGTCTATAGTTGTACCAGCTGGAAAAGTGGACAGTGTTTACGGAAAAACCTTATCACTACACGTAAATTTTGTATCCTCACTCTTCATATGTATAGATGTGGCTTTTTGGATATGAGTTGCAAGACACTGTAATTGTATTCAATAAGCAGTCTATGATTGTGTTGTGCGGGAAAAAAAAGTTGGATTTCCTACATCCCTTGGAAAACCGTCATTTCGGCAATCACACAGTCGTTCTAATCCCAAGAAACCCAGTAAGTTAGATGTAAAACTATATTTCCTGCAGACTGACAAAGATAAGGCAGGCCTAAAAAAACTAGTTGACGGTATCAAGTCCGGTGCAAAGAATAATAAAGTGGGTCATTTGGCGAAAGATAAATTCACATCAGAGTTAACTGAATCCTTCATGTCATCCTTGCAAGAGGAGAAATTTCAACTCGTTGACATCTCTAATTCCATCAGTGAAATCCTAGCTACCAAGGATGAAACAGAACTAATATTGTTGAAAAAGGCTTGCGATATTACATGCAATCTTTTCACTAAACATTTAAAAGAGCAAATCATGGACGTCATTGACTCAGATAGAGTAAGTGATGGATTTTTTGTGTGCATAGAAAAGTGACCAGTAGATTTTTTGGTATAGAATATCATGTAGTTACTAATATTGTTTAGTGATCAGTCATGAACTATTTAAAACCCGATATGCGCTATCAAAGCTATAGAAAATCTTGCAAACAGCAGTCGTGCCGACACTAGATGTCCATATCCTAAAGGGAGAGTATCGCTAACGTTCTCTTGTTTGCACCAATTAGCTAATTTATCTGTTTCGCTCATAGCTTGTTATTACCTTTAGGGTAGGTAATTGCTACCTAATCCCAAATGTTATACATTAAGATAAACCCTATTAAAATCTAAACTAACACATTAACAGGCTTTGATTGTTTACCCTCATAAGTGCGAGGTAAATAAGAAACATTCTAGTGTTTCGTGACATCGTAGTATTGAAGATTGTTACTTGACAACTACTTGGAAACCAAGTCTGTAAAATTGGCATGCCAAAAATTATGTCAACCTATCAAAGTCTGTTGTTGATCACTAATGGTTGTCACATTTTTCGATAATCTATGGTTGAGATTAGTAACATTTGATGGTGTACATCATGGTGCCTCACTCCCCAGTTTTACCTGATACTATCGTAGATATGCTGTTTGCATTAGCGCTTTGTCTGATGATTTGGAGATTTAACTGTTTGGTGACTGTGGCTGAGTGTTAACAAACACTGTTGTTCCGTTTACTGAAAACTTCAATGAAATGGAGTCTTTAAATAGTGACAATCCTGTTGTAGCTTTAAAAATGCTATGGTTGTATCCTGTAGTCTGTACTGCGTACTTTCTCCTGTGTAACTGGACAAAGACTAGTGCGACTCGATGTAAGGAGGGGCGCAAGATTATGTTCTCCCCCGTCTGGGTGGTTAATTTTCTTCAGAACGTGTTTTCATAAACATTCAGTTCTTCCATAGGGCAAAATAGTTGGGCGAGTAGACAGGTCTTTCTATTCATTCGTATCTATCTTCTTTCCATGGTACGGCCGATGGTGGTGGAGGTCCGTTCTCCCTCTTGAACTGCTCTCACAACTACTGTCAGAAAAGTCCTACTCACTTCTCGCGGAACCGGTGTTGTTTACGAAGTTGACAGGACGAAAACCGAATGTCCAGAGCTTTGACCGAATCGGTGAACATGGAGAGTCCACCTGGGGGAGTTGGACAACCCTGATTCCAAACCAATGACCCTAGGGGACATATGGTGTAGGAACCAATTATTGTTCACCGGTTACCATGAGACTGCATCTTCTGACATTGCTCCACTTCCTTGTGGATCAGACCTCTGGGTTTGGCATCCTAAGAAAACAGACTGGTTCGGTTTGGGCATCCGGGCAGTATCGTTGCCCACACACATCCTTGACCGTGGCTGCTACCTTGACGTGGTGGTTGGGCTTGCCTATCGTGATGACCCAACCTAGCTTTATTGGCTGGGACATATGTTCCTGCAGTTTCTACCATGCCAGGCAGGTCGATTGGAGAACGGTAAGACTAAAAGCAGCAACTCAAGGTCTGAGGGCGAAGTCGTACTGCTGACTGTAGAGGAGTGAGAGCAGTAATGTATCTCCCTCAGACAGCCAGCATTCGCAGTGATGCTATTTTCTCACAAAGAAGTAAGGGGTTAGAAAAGGTCGACACTAAAAATGTCACGCTTAACCTTAACTCACGGATTTCCATCTCCGGCGGTAAGGCCCTTTCAAGGACAGAGCTAACACGTCAAAAATCCCCTACAAAGATACTTGCAAGTCACTTGTGTTAGAAATATAGCTCGCATCTGCTGGGATCACTGGGTAAATAATAGTGAGGTTAGACGCAGGGTATTAGAGAATGATGGTAGATCAGTTGATGAGATTGTGAGTCTTCATCAACTAAGATGATTGGGTCACGTATTACGCATGCCTGGACACCGATTACCACTATGCGCAATGCTGAGTAGTGTCGGGGATGGTTGGAAGAGAGTTAGGGGCTGCCAAACCAAAACGTGGCATCAGTGCTTGAAGTCACTAACTTCTAGTCTTAACCGTGTTAGTAGATGCAGACTACTTGGTTGGCGTCCGCGTGATTATCGTAACCAATGGTTGGAGGATCTGGTTGATGTGGCTGAGAATCGATCACAATGGCGTAGGTGTATACACTCATTGTCTTCCTTTAAACTCTAAGATTAAAATTGCTTCATATCTTTTTTCCTGTACTATATCCTCATATACAATCTTTTTGTGTGTATATTACTACGTTTAAAGTAATTGCTTCTATGAATTTGTTGTCGATTTTGTTGTGCTAATGATGTATGGTAACTTAAACTGATGCGTATATGTACCTGGTCCTACGTTGTAGCTGCCTTTTTTACTGACTGTTGCTGGTGTTTGATCACGTCTTTGAGACATTAATCGTGTATGGCAAAATTCCAGGCGTGGAATGCTGAAGTTAGATTCGGAGTGCCTTGGTGATTATTACTATTGGAAAAATGAACTCTTTCCGCTTAATGTCATTCAAATTTGTGTGAAGACTTAGTATCCTATAAATCAAGGTGTGCTTATTATCCATACTTTCCGTGTGTTGAGTTTGAAAGTCATTCCTTATTTTACCTGTTATCATCATTCTTATCAGTAGATGGTAGAATTTTAGAATAATTACTTCGTTTTGCTGAGGATTTGTGGAAGCTGGTACATGTATCATACGTTTTTTGTGTCAAGATATAATTTTCAGTGATAATTAAATTATGTTTCAAACAAATCCTTAACTTAGTCATATGTACGCATGATGTTTCATGAACTCACTAACTGTCAATCTAAAAATCTTGACTGAACTTCCTAAAGTACTACAAATAAGGTCAGCTGTTTGATACTATCGATCAAAAAACTCAATTCTTAATTATTAGTTGCATAAAGTCAACTATGTGGTTGGTCTTTAAACTAATCTTTAAGTAAGGTATCAATGTTGTCCACTAAATTTGTATTTATTCTATGTTCGGAATCATTAAGTCGTAGCTTAATTTGTTTATTTTTAAAAAAATTTTTGGTACTTCATTTTTAGAAAGTTAAACATGAAAAGCTTTCTAGTGGCTGTCAAAACGCCCTAAAAAACTCAAATATTTTGTCAGGTTTAGATCCTGATAATGTGGAAATGTGTTATGATCCAATTATTCAGAGTGGAGGGACGTATAATCTTAAATTTAGTATTGAAAGGTGAGTTTTTCATGCTTTTTCTACCAATAACATACAAACAGATTAATCTAAAATGCCACTAGTTTTGTGTTGCGCTTAACATTTGCAAATTAAATCTCGTCCCACTCATTTTAATCTTCACTAATTTATATAATTTAATCGGTTAGTCAAAGCAACATAAGTTCATTTGCCGTTTATCTCACCGTTGATTGCGAAGGCTATGTCCGTGTGGGTCATTCTGTTCATTAATTACTGTTCTAGATTCTGCTCACGAATAACAATTTTTCGAATTTGATTTGTCTTTCAGATTGTGGATAATCTATTGACAAAACGCAATAATCGTCTTAAGTTAAATTTCCAGTGATCAACGTAATTACTATTTTTTTGAACTGTCACAGAGAAATTATATCGCTTTTCCTTGTTACTTCATTATGTCCGTCTCTGATTGTTAATAGATTTTCAGTGACGACTTCGAATCAATTTTATTAATGGTATTCAAGAAGTTTTTAGTTAATTACCTACTCTTTTTTCAACTAGCTGTAAATGTTTTAAGAACGGAATATATAATCAATAGTAGCTGAAAATCAGTTATTCATTAAACACTCTTGTGAATGCTCACTAGGAATGGGAAGCTCTCGAACTAAACTGATGTTAATGGATAAAAAAGCAGGTCAGGAAAATTTGTGTAGAAATCGTCAAACACAATTTATATGGTAGCAATTTTAGCACTTTTAGGTCTAGATTGTGTACACAGTAAAATACTGTTTGTAAGATTATTATTATTTATTTATTTCTGGTCACCTCCATTCTTATCATTTAAAAGTAATAAGAAAACTTCACTCAGATATTTTCTTTACATTTAACACATTTTGCAGCATATCGCTAGTCCCTGGCCCTTATACAAATAATGTAGCGCAAAACTAAGTTTTGTATTGATACGTCAAACTGGACAGTAGTAATAAGGCTATTTGATTAGTAGCACTTCATTAAAATATTGAAATTACTAGGTTCCGTTTACCCTCAGTTCATCAGTCTTATTTGTTACATATGTACTTTCGTTACAGTTTACTGTTATATTTTCCTTATTTTATATCTCTACTACGTAGATGTTAGATGATGGCCGTACTTTTTTCGGATCTGCTAGTATTAATGTTTTGCCAGCGTGTAAAAATTAGTTAGTATCTTACACTTGGCAAACTACTTCCTTCGACTGGTATATAATTTAACTGTGAAGTCATTTTCAATAGGCACAGAATGAAAGCGCTTGATGATGTTGACAAATCGATAAGTAGACCATAAATGATATAAACAAAGTTTTCATTCATCACCTGACTGGTTTATATGGTCAGTCAGTTTGAGGCTCCATCTTATACCTAAATTATACTGCTAATTCTTTCATTCCAATGTATCTTGAAGATTCATCATTTAAGGAAGATTGTACATATTTGAGTCCTGACCACTTCCTCCACTGATTCTTTTTTTGCTCTTGGCAATTGATTAACTTTATTATTTATCCGGCCGTTGTAGCGACTTAAAACTTGTAAAATGAACTGTGAAAGTTAGGATGAGGCCTTACTGGTTTCGCACTGAAATGCTTTATAGCTAGCTTCATTTTATCATCCATTGGTTATACTTCTTGTTACTAAATATTAACTATGGAAATAATTTTATATGTTTGTTCCTTGGAATTATTGTAGTGACACCCGGATTCTTCATTTCGGGGTTATTATTTGCTCCTTAGGAGTGCGTTATCAGTCCTATTGTTCTAATGTAATCCGTTCTCTCATGGTCAATCCTACAGATGAACAGTCTGCGAATTACACTTATTTACATGATCTATTTGATTGGTGTATAGAACAAATTAAACCGGGTAAGTATTCCAAAAGTCGTATTTTTTTAATCGTACATTATGTGCGCTTCTAGGTTTTCTTGTTTGCCTTGCCTGCCTTGTATAACTAGTACAAGTAGTTATTTTTTCATATAACTGATAAATATTTAATCTTGTTCCATAATTCTAAAATGCCCGTACATTGACTGATAATTCACTTGTCTTACCGATGCTGTATGTTGTATCCTTCAGAATCAAGTGAGAGTACACTTTTTTCAGCAGTTTATGTTGGTTTCTCTCTGTTATCATTATAAATGCTCTCACGTTTTAGTGGCCACTTTTTATAAACTGCTAGGTTCTAGTGAAACAACAAGCTGAGAAATGCGACTCGCTATTTATTTCGTTGATATTCTTTAACTGCAATTCGACCAGATATTTTCGTAAGAATAGTATATCATTGTAACATGTTTATTTATTCGATACTTCATCTTAAATAATGACTACAATTTCTGAAATTCTTCTAGTTGACTAGAAAAACTAATTTACTTCTCCCAGTTAATAAGCGTACAGGTAAAATAAAATATAGTTTAGTCTTTTGTGAAGTAAGGACAAATTTACATATATTTACGCTTACGTGTAGTATGGGTTGTTTTCCTTACTAAGGATTGACAATCAACTGAGTGAAAGCTTTCTTGTGGTACATATGAGTTGGACAGTCAAAATTTATTCAAACATTACTAGTCCATAAAAACTACTCATTGTCACTGTATGCTGAATGGAAAGGTATAACTGTCTTAACTGGATGCTGTAATTCAGTGACTCGAGATTCAGGAGCCATCGGTCAAAGCCCCTCACGTTCATTCACTATTTATCTTTCTCTCTAGCTCAGGTTTCCTAGTTTTCTTTTCTCAATTAACATTTTGGTAGTTTTTAAAAGAACATTTTTAGATTTCGATTCATATTGTTTATGCAGTGTTACGAAAAACTTTTAGATCATTCATTATGTATATACCTGTTCCTCTACCAGTCATATATTTTCATTCATAGTTTGTGCACATATATGTGCAAATTTATTGGCTTATGGTGGTCAGTTTTCTGTTGTTCATTGCCTGAAAAAAAACGTTAAAGCTTGATTAAAAAAAGACATATAAAGCATTTCCGCCTGATTATTAATGTGAATAATTAAATTGCTAAGAATAATTTATGTGGAACAACTTTGGGAAATACAAATGCAAAGAGAATAAACAGTTGTCCGCGTTCACCGTTAAATAAAATCAACTGCGATTCACCTTCCCATTACACCGTACTTATGTTACTCCAATATGCAATTCTTTCGTCATTTCCTTCGAGTATGTATGTATTATCAGTCAGTCAGTCAGTCATGCACAATGTGAAACCTGGTATTTACGTGCATCGGTTCAAGTCGTCATATCCCATTAGCACAAAAAGATGAAATTGTTAGGACAATATTATACGTATGATTGAAAATGTCAAGACATTTTTGTACATAGCAGGTATAAAAATGGTTTGCATCACAATGTTAAAATAAAATTTATTACTTTTTCTCACTTTTATAGGTGTTAAAATAGCAGATTTCTGTCAGGCTATTGCAAACAAAGTATCGACTGAACGTCCTAAATTAGCCGAAAATCTCTTACGCAATTACGGGTTAGTGTAATGTGTTTTAAATTTGTAGTGTTCTTTTATTTCCTCATAGTTTAGAAGTATTTGTTCATATGGAAGATAATGGTAAATTCTTTAACTCGATCTAAGTAATTAGGTCGAAACACAATATAAATTGACTTTTAAATCCCTACCGAAGCATGGGTTCGTTCTGTTTTACTTTACAGTTGCGAAACATGACTGTTTAAGGTAGGGGATACTCGTAAGTCACTTGTGTTAGGAATATAGCTCACATCTGCTGGGATCACTGGGTAAATAATAGTGAGGTTAGACGCAGGGTATTAGAGAATGATGGTAGATCAGTTGATGAGATTGTGAGTCTTCATCGACTAAGATGATTGGGTCACGTATTACGCATGCCTGGACACCGATTACCACTATGCGCAATGCTGAGTAGTGTCGGGGATGGTTGGAAGAGAGTTAGGGGCTGCCAAACCAAAACGTGGCATCAGTGCTTGAAGTCACTAACTTCTAGTCTTAACCGTGTTAGTAGATGCAGACTACTTGGTTGGCGTCCGCGTGATTATCGTAACCAATGGTTGGAGGATCTGGTTGATGTGGCTGAGAATCGATCACAATGGCGTAGGTGCATACACTTTTTGTCTCCTCATAAACAATCTTTGTCTATATAAATTACTGCTACTGAAGTAACTGCTTCTATGAATTTGGTGTTGATCATATTGTGCTAATGATGTATGGTAACTTAAACTGATGCGTATATGTGCCTGGTTCTACGTTGTAGCTGACTGACTGATGGGTTCATTAATTGAAGTATTAAACTTTAGAAACTAAGCTACAGGTCAGTCAGTCAGTCAGTCAGTCAGCTACAACGTAGGACCAGGCACATTTATGCATCGGTCCAAGTTGCCATACCTCGTTAGCACAACAAGATACAGGTTTGTTCTCTGTATTTACTTCAGATTGAATAGTTGGGTAAATAAATGTAAGTGTTGTTCAAACGGGAGTAAATAATCGTTTACTTGCTAAGTATTAGCTATCATGGGGTTTAGTCGACTTTTGTGCCAAATGTACAATCTACAACTCAGTATATCTGTTACCTTTCAGGTATGATGAGCGATTATTTATGTTCTCATTTACCACTTCCCTGTTGTTTTTGAAATATTTATTCATTTGAACACATAGGTATTGGTACATGGGGGCACCAGATACTTATGCACCACACAAATGTCATGTGATTTGTGTCAGAGCTGTGATACTGCCTGGGTGCCTAAACCGAAGCAGGTGGTTTTCTTAAGGGGCCATATCCGGAGCCTTTGATCTAGAGGTCTGATACACAAGGAAGTAGAGCAACGTCAGGAGATTCAGTCTCTTGGTAACCGGCGAACAATAATTGGTTCATGCGCCATTTGTTTCTTAGGCTCATCCTTTAGCCCATGTGCATCTTTGGTTTGGAATCAATGTTTCCCAACTCCCTTAGGTGAACTCCCTGTGTTCACCAACCCGGTTAAAACTCCGGACATTCGATTTTCGTCGTCAATTTCGTAAACAGCGGTGCCACGAGGAGGCAGTGAGTAGGACTTCCCTGGCAGTGGTTGTATGCGCGTGGCCGTGAGAGTATTTCGAGAGGGAGAACTGACTCTCCCCACTCTCGGCCGTATCAGGGCATGTGGGGGCCTTTGCTCGCCTAGCCCGTCCAGTTGAGTCCAGAACATCAATAACAGCTTCCACTATGCAAATCATTCATTTCAAACATACTTGGTTTATATACCAACTAAATAGACCGCATCACACCATAAAATAGGAAATAATATCCATACAAGGTGAAGGCAAAATATGTCTGTGAACGCGGGAGACAGTAATTAATTAACTGAACATAATTTAAGAACAGTAAATCGTATAATAATAATCTATGAGTCAAAATGAAGCTTATAATAAGAGGAATAATGATATATATATATATATATATATATATATATATATATAATGTAGTTACTGAATAGTTATACAATAAGAATATGTATATGTAATATTACTCCATTAATGGTTCTCAGAAATTACTCGTAGTTTAATCTTCACGAGGATATAACAGTTATCATGTTATAATGAATGCTGAAAAGAATTTTCTAAACAAATCTTTTGATAAATAAATAATATATTTGTAATATCCCAATGAGTAGAAATATCACCTTGACCGCAATGAAATGACGTGACATTGATTTGTTCAGACCTGTTTTTGATTGATCACCTAATTATTCTTGGATTGTTCCGTTGTACTATTTAAACTTGGATTATGGTTAATTTGGTTATGTATTCTCTGAAGAAGTGGGTTACACTGAGTCACAAAACGTCAGAAAATCTAATTTTTCTACTCATTAGGATATTACAAATATATTAATTTATTTATAACAATCTACCCAATGCTCAATTTATTCAAAATTATCAAATCAAAACTTGGTAATGATATCTATAAATCTTTTGATAGTTTAGTGGTACCTTTTTACACTTTGTTCAATTTTCTCTAGATTTGTAACGGGAATCGAATTTCGAGACAGTAATTTACTGTTATCACCTAAATCTGCATCAACATTTCGACGAGGAATGACACTAAATTTCAATTTAGGCTTTCAGGTTGGTTGTTTAAAGTAAATTTGTGCCTAATTATATGTGTACGCATCCCATCATAAAATAGATTTTCATGTGTTGTTGTATTTTGTTTGTTAACTTTCACCAAATTAAATTTATTTTATATTATTACACAATCATATCAAATTTAATGATTGATTGCCAAGGTGCACGAAACTGATCTCATCACCTAAAGACTGAAAGTTTACTGATAGCTTCTCATTCATCTAGTTTGGTTATATCAATGAATGTTCAGCAGTTTTTACGCTACCATACATTCGTCTTATTGATTTAATATCTAGAAAGGTAGTGAAATTTTGACCACCAAACAATCTGGCTCAGAAAACACAACTTCGATAATCTTGCTTATTTGTTATCCAATAATTGTCTTGTCGACTTTAACTAGCACTGAAACAATGTCGTAATACAGTCAAATCAAGATGCTTTTGAAATCTAATCTTCCAGTCAGTTTAACCTGAAACGGAAGGATATTTCGTAGCACCATCATTATCCTATTCCCGTTCTTTGTTTTCTGTAAGTAATTTAGTGGGACTATGATTTGTGGACAAACCCAGGATATTTCAGTTAGTACATCTTGGATTTAGCGCAAAATGAATTTGTCCTCAAAACTAAATAGCAGTCTGGTATTATAACTAATGTTATTTCGTTATGAAAACTTTACATTTAATTCCTAACCTGAACTCCTGATCCCTCATATTGATTCATAACCTTATATGCATTTCACTATGTGACTGGAGTTTCTAAAGGTCGCTTAAGTATTCGCCAAATGTCATCTGAACATTATAGTATCATCTCAGTTTTTTAATCCTATTATTATGATAGAGTAATTTTGATAAATCTCTCTGTTTCACATCGTTTCGCCTTTTTCTCGTGGTGATTTTAGTAAAGCATGGTAAGATTCTTTGTGTCCCGCTGATCTGGCTCCAATTTAGATAAACGTATAAATATGCTATGAACAAATCTTCCATTTAACTACTTATATTATCTAGGCTATTCCCGTTCGTTTGACGGTGGTAATAAAAAAAACAGATACGGGTTGTGTCGGAGGAACTTATTTTAAACATTCGCTTATCCAGACAGGCATTCAAAATAAGAAGCGGAACGGAAAAGGCGAGTGAACCAACTCGATTTGCCCAAGCACGACTCGATAACTACAGTCGGGAAAAAATAAGTTACAGACATATGATGAGTGGGATAAGCAATACATACACATACGTTCATCTAAAAACAGCCACGGTTAGTAAGCGAGTAATTAGCATAGTCAAAATGTGACTAATGAATAAATAGATCTGTTCGGAAGCTAGAACCACCCATTTGGGCTTGATATGTCACTAAACACTAAGATAAGTTAGTAATCAACGTTGTCAAATCCTAAACCACGGTTTTTCTTGCTGTTTGTAGCTCTGACTAGTTGGCTGGTTTTGATTGATTATTGATAAATATTGGTGCTGATACCCCTTAACTATCTTCCAAACCCATTCCTATAATTCCAACTACTTATACACGTCGACTAGTACAATAGACAGAAGGTGCGAACTGCAAGTAAAAGCTTTACTTCGAGGTTAGCTCATGTACAAAAAAAACGTGTATTTATAATCGTACACCATCTTGAACTTCTGGAAACTTCTGGAACCATACGGAATATATTATCAGTGCATCCAATCCAAGCCATGACACGCGTCTGCACTTTCTATATGTTTCTGTGGAGTTCCTATTCAACACCAAGTGGATACAATGTCTTCTTGCGTTTCCGGACCTCTAGAGACTTTGACAAGGAACACTATAGGACTCCCCTCAGTCAGCTACAACGTCAGACTAGTCACATATTCGCATCAGTCTAAATTGCCATACATCATTAGCACAATATGATCAACACCAAATTCATAGAAGCAGTTACTTCAGTAGCAGTAATTTATATAGACAAAGATTGTTTATGAGGAGACAAAAAGTGTATGCACCTACGCCATTGTGATCGATTCTCAGCCACATCAACCAGATCCTCCAACCATTGGTTACGATAATCACGCGGACGCCAACCAAGTAGTCTGCATCTACTAACACGGTTAAGACTAGAAGTTAGTGACTTCAAGCACTGATGCCACGTTTTGGTTTGGCAGCCCCTAACTCTCTTCCAACCATCCCCGACACTAGTCAGCATTGCGCATAGTGGTAATCGGTGTCCAGGCATGCGTAATACGTGACCCAATCATCTTAGTTGATGAAGACTCACAATCTCATCAACTGATCTACCATCATTCTCTAATACCCTGCGTCTAACCTCACTATTATTTACCCAGTGATCCCAGCAGATGTGAGCTATATTCCTAACACAAGTGACTTACGAGTATCCCTTACCTTAAACAGTCATGTTTCGCAACTGTAAAGTAAAACAGAACGAACTGTTGAGCAGTATAGACCGACCTCTTGCCTTTGCTATACGCGACGTAAGTTGGTAAAAGCCAAACGAGCATTTCGATTCCTTGCGGAGATTTCGTCAGACACCAACCCATTAGGGCTTATCAGACTTCCAAGATAAGTAAAGTTGTCGACGCGTTCCACTACTTCACACTCCCTTTGCTTAGTTCAGGTGTTGACGCAGGCCAGACTTCTTAATTTCTGTTTCTTTTATTAGTCTGAAGTGTTATCTGGTGTTACCTGCGGCGGCCGTCTTTTGCATTTCTTTTGCTTTCGTTGCCCACACTGCTCATAATCGTTCCGTAGACTTTTGCTTAAATTAGATTTGATTTGCTTTCACTCTTCATCGTGTTCAGAGCCTGACGGGATGAGTTTACGAGAATCCATCAGCGCAATAGACTTAGAAGAAATCCATTGGTTTTTTGTAACCCTACTTAGTTCAGGTGTTGACGCAAGCCATTCCTGGAGCAATAAATTATATTTATAAGGGGAGATACGCTAATCTGTATACAGTTGTCTGATTATATATCTTCTGTATTGATATATCTATTTTCGTGTCATTCTTTGAATATATTCAAGTGCATAATAATAATTGTTCAAGATTCTGATATATAAGGTTATAAATGTTTATTACAGATGCGTTTATATGATGAATTTGAACTGACATCTAGGGAAAAGATTGATGTATTTCACATGAAATAAGCAATCACCCTCGTCCGTCTAATGTCTCAAACTTTATGTTCAACAGTGACTTTAAGAAATGCTTTAGAAAACTGTTGTATATATAATAAGCGGGCATAGTGTAATAACAGAACAAATATTAAAAAATAAGCTGATAAGTGAGAGATGGATAAAATATCTAGCTACAGAACAAAAGCTCACATGAAGCTTGTTTTTTCTCCCAATAAACATTGATATTTCTCATACACAACTTGCCTTCCGTGATCATTGTTACGAGGTGTGGTATAATCTTCATACAATCTTTGTAATTGTAGTTGATTACTAAGTAAATTACATTATTGCTATTTTCGTTAACTACTTTTAATGTATAATTGTGGTCTACACTGACAATCAACAATATAACATGTTTTTATGTATTTGATCAAACCTATTAGTCGTAATTAATGGAATAATTCCAATCTCTTTCTTTATGTTTTGTGTTGTTTTACCTGTTTGTTTGCTTGTTTTTTTTCTCCTAGAATTTAATAAATAGTCTTGGTAAATCTCAAGCGGAGAAAAATTATGCACTTTGGTTAGGCGATGTGCTAGCTGTTGGTGTTGGAAATACCGGTGAAAATTTAGTGTATACTTTGACTGCAAAACGTCGACCGAAATCAATCAGCTTGTATATAAAAGATGAAGAGGAAGATGATGAGGAAGAAGACGAAGAAGAAACTAGAAATACTGGAAAAAGAGACACTAGCAATAGAAACCCACAGAGTGCACGTTCAGCAAATGGTACTAGTGCAGGTGCTATTTCTAAAAAACAATCTATCCCAAATGGTGATGGCAGTACTGGTGTAAATGCTGCACAAGAAATATTGGGTCGCGGACATCGTCGTGCTATTATTGAACAGAAAACTCGAGTAGGTAGTGATTAATTTATTTCATGCATGATGGTAACAATTTGCTAGAGTTGCATATCCGTAAAAGAATTCAAGGCTGCGTGAAATCTTACATACACTACGCTTATTTAACGACTAATTATCTTCGATTTTTTGATATCTTTGTTGTAAATGTTAAACAAAAGATGAACCATACTCTCATTCATTGTCCGAAATGGTGTTCTGACTTGTCCATTTTAAATAATAGTAATAATATTGATAATGGTAGTACTAATTAATAATCAGTTTAGATATACGGTAGATACTTTTCAATCGTCATTGTGATGTTTGTGTTATTTATTTAAACACAAACGTTAGCACAAAAGGGCACAAAAATATATATCAGACACACAAAGTAGTTGTCATAAAATTTGCGTGTGGTTCGATATACTGCCCGGGTGCCACAACCCGAAGTATTCTCCTTAGGTGGCCACTCCCTGAGCCTTTAACTTAAAGATCTAGTAGACAAGGCAGTAAAGCAAAGTCATCAGATGCAATCCCATGGTAGCCGGTGACTAAGAGTTTATTTATTTATTTAAACACATAAATATTGGTACAAGGAAGCACCAGATAAATATGCGCCTCACAAATCTCATTCGATTTGTGTGAGGGCTGTGATACTGCTCAGGTGCCCAGACTGAAGCAGGTGGTTTTCTTAGGGGGCCACACCCGGAGCCTTTGACCTGAATTTCTGATCCACAAGGCAGTGGAGCATCATCCCATGGTAGCCAGTGATCAACGGTTGATTCGTACTCCATTCGTTCCCTCAGGATACTGGAGCCCATGTGCACCATTGGTTTTGAATCAGGGTTTTCCAACTCCCCTAGGTGAGCTTTCCATGTCCACCAACCCGGTTAAAGCGCCGGACATTCGCTTTTCGTCCTCTCACTTTCGTAAACAACACCGGTGCCACGAGAAGGCAGTGAGTAGGACTTCCCTGACAGAGGCTATATATTCGCTGGTCATATGAGAGCATTTCGAGAGGGAGAGGTGACTCTCCCCACTCTCGGCCATACCAGGGCATTTGGGGGCTAAGAGTAGTTTTATGCGCGGCTTGTTATTTCAGGATCCTGGGGCCCAAGTTCACCGTTGGTTTAGAACCAGGATTTTCCAACTTCTCTAGGTAGATCCACGAACCATATTTAAGCGCCGTAAATTCACTTTTCGTCCTCACTTTTGTAAACAACACCCTCACGAGGTGATGAATGAGATTTTTCTAGCAGTGGCTACATGCTCGTGATCATGTGAGAGGATTTTAGGGGGGAGAACGAATTCTCCCCACCCTTTGCCGTACTAGGGTATTCGGGAGCTGAGAAATACGTATGAACCTATTATTGGTCACTGGTAACTATGAGACGACATCTCCTGACGTTGCTCTACTTCCTTGTGTACCAGACCTCTTGGTTAAAGGCTCTGGGTGTAGCATCCTAAGAAAACCGCTTGGTTTGTTTTGGGCGTCCGGGCAGTATCCACACACAAATCAAGTGACTTGTGTGGCGCATATATATTCGGTGCCTCTTTTTACTTATATTTATGTTCAAATAAATAAATATATCATCATATTTTACTTCAGTTTTGGGCAACCGGCTAGTATTACTAGATCTCATTCACATTCAAAATGTGGCTTAAAATCAAGTACATTGATCTATATCTCCCTGGTAAGCGAGCCGAATAAGTAGGCGACGATTATGAAATATTTCTAGTGTTTTTTCATTTGTATAAAATTGTTATTTACATGTGATTGATTATAATTTGATATGTAATATCGCCGTTTTTGTATATATTTTATAATCAGGTAGCCACCTATCTGTTTCTTCGAGACTAACTAGTTTTAAAACGAATAGATTGTCATACCCAATTATATATATATATATATATATATATATATATATATATATATACTATGTATAGTGTAGTTTAGTATAATATAATAATACATTAGTTTGCCTAGATCTGCTTACAAATACAGATATGGTTATTAGTCTGTGAACCAGTCTCTGGTTTCGAGTCCGCATTCATCTAGCGAAATTTTTTTAGCCGTATGAAAAGAAAATTGTCTAATTCGTCACAGTATTTGATCCCAGATAGAAATGTATTTAAAAATACCAAATAATATACGACTGTGTTGTGTTAATTTGGGACCACTCGACTGTACTTGCCAAATGTCTGGACATTAATGTAAACAAGGATCTTCAAGGTTCGCACTAAGCACATAGTATTTAAATTTGTAATCCTCTGCAAACTTCCTTTCAATCTATTGGTAATATTGAGCAAAAATCATTTGTTATTTAGGACGGATAACTTGTTCATGCCCTTTCCGATTATATAAACTGAATAACTATTTTGTTGCCTCCCCCCTTCACTTTTTTTTCTTAGAATGAACAAACTGCTGAAGAGAAACGTATGAGCCGCCGGCGAGATCTATTTCAAGAACTTATAACAAGTTCTACAAATCGTTTAACAGGATTGAAAACTGATACTAATTTAGACACTAAAATGAAATCTAGCATTGCTTATAAAGGGGCTGGTCAAATGCCTAAGGAAGATGATGTTCGTAAACTTCGACTATTTGTTGGTAAGTTTCGCTCCAATACTCCATTCATATCACCAACACAGTATGATAACCTAGTGTTCGCGTAATTGATCACAACTTTATTAACTAAAAATGCTTTGATTGTTTAAAATACTAATATACGGTAGGCTGCGATTGCTGCTGCTACCTTGACGTGGTGGTCGGGCTTGTCTATCGTAATGAACCAATCGAGCTATAATATCTGGAACATTCGTTCCTCAGGGTCCTACTGTGGGGCCCTTCATTTTGTCTACAATTAGATCGGATGATGTTGTCGACGGGCTCACTACTTTAGTGTCCTGGGATCTGACTCCAGTTATATCGTATGAGTGATTTTTGTCAAAATAGATATAGAAATTATCGACTTAACTGGTGTTGGTGAGTAACAAAAATAAATACGTCAAATACGAGAATGGGTGTTCGAATACATATATTTTGTACACTCGTTGATTGGAATAGATAATCAGTGAATCGCATCGAATGATGTGAAGAAGTGAAAGCAAAGCGAAATAGTGCGCGGTGGAGAAAGCCGACCCGATTTAATCAAACGTTAATCATTATCTATCGTCACACAAAAATAAGCTACAGACATGTGACGAGTAGGATAAGATATATATACTCATATAAAAGCAGTCAGGATTGATAAGTAAATAGTCCAAAAGGTCAAAACATGACTCAAGAAGAATCAATAATTTGGCCTGTTCAGAAGCTAAAATAAGTTATATGGGCTTAATATAGTAACAGACACTATACTACCATGCCAGACAGGTTGAAGAGCCGTAAGACTAAAACCAGCAAACCCGAGGGCGAAGTCGTACTACTGAATGTACGGAGATGTGACGGCAGTAAGGTGTTTCTATCAGACAACCAGCATAACAGCGATGCTGCCTTCCTACGAGGAAGAATGGGGTTAGAAAACTTACTCCTGTTACCCTCAATAGAGCATAGGCCGCCGACCAGCATTCTCCAGCCCACTGTGTCCTGGACCTTTCTTTCCAATTGTTGTTCATTTTCCTCATTTCTGTCTCAGTGTAATGTGTTCTTTGGTCTTGAGGATTCCAAGTGAGTGTTTGCCTTGTGAAACACTTGGGTGCTTTCATCAATATATATCCTATTCACTTCCAGTGCTTCTTCCTGATTTCTTTTTCCACTGCAATCTGGTTTGTTCTCTCCCACAGTAGGTTGTTGCTGATAGTGTCTTTCCAACGGATCCGAAGTATTTTGCATAGACAACTGTTAATAAACACTTGTGTCATCTGGATATTGACTTTCGTAGTTCTCCAAGTTTCCGCCCCATATAGTAGAACTGTCTTGACATTTGTATTGAAAATTCCGAATTTGATGTTGGTTGACAGACAGTTTTTTTCAGTTCCAGATGTCCTTCAGTTGTCAATATGCTACTCTTGCTTTGCCGATCCGCGCCTTCACATCTGCATCAGATCCACCGCGTTCATCAATGATGCTGCCCAGATATGTAAATGTTCCTACATCCTCCAAAGCTTATCCGTCAAGTATGATTTGATTGATGCATGTTGTGTTACAAAATGTTGACCCTGGAAATTCACAACTCGCCTTATTCCACGGATTTTCTCCGGTGTTAAGGTCCCAACAAGTACGGAGCTGACACGAAAATTACAAAAAGGTCGTGTGTGACCAACCTCAAGAAGTTGTCCCTTGGGCACTGCGGTTACGCTCTTAGGTTACTAAGACCAATTCTAACACAATTTCATTTTAAGGTACCTCTAGAAAAACCCTTCCACAATGTGGGGAACTGGGAAATGATAACCACCCTCATACTTCTAACAGCACTCAAGACCACTGTATTCATACTCAATCTCTCTTTAATCCGTATTATTTCTACGTCGAATTTCAACTCTGAACTTCTTTTAACATCTTCCTCAAGTTTATCATGGCCAACAATTCTAGTGCGCGAAAAAAGTCTGGCCTGCGTCAACACCTGAACTAAGCAAAGGGAGTGTGAAGTAGTGGAACGCGTCGACAACTTTACTTATCTTGGAAGTCTGATAAGCCCTAATGGGTTGGTGTCTGACGAAATCTCCGCAAGGAATCGAAATGCTCGTTTGGCTTTTACCAACTTACGTCGCGTATAGCAAAGGCAAGAGGTCGGTCTATACTGCTCAACAGTTCGTTCTGTTTTACTTTACAGTTGCGAAACATGACTGTTTAGGGTAAGGGATACTCGTAAGTCACTTGTGTTAGGAATATAGCTCACATCTGCTGGGATCACTGGGTAAATAATAGTGAGGTTAGACGCAGGGTATTAGAGAATGATGGTAGATCAGTTGATGAGATTGTGAGTCTTCATCAACTAAGATGATTGGGTCACGTATTACGCATGCCTGGACACTGATAACCTTGTTAGTAGATGCAGACTACTTGGTTGGCGTCCGCGTGATTATCGTAACCAATGGTTGGAGGATCTGGTTGACGTGGCTGAGAATCGATCACAATGGCGTAGGTGTATACATTCATTGTCTTCCTTTAAACTCTGAGATTAAAATTGCTTCATATCTTTTTTCCTGTACTATATCCTCATATACAATCTTTTTGTGTGTATATTACTACGTTTAAAGTAATTGCTTCTATGAATTTGTTGTTGATTTTGTTGTGTTAATGATGTATGGTAACTTAAATTGATGCGTATATGTGTCTGGTCCCATGTTGTGACTGACTTCGATTATAGTGCATTAACTTAATCATTTCCCTGATATAGAATTCTTAAATTTGTGACAGACTGATGTTTTAGAGTTTTCGAATTTATTTATCCGACACTTTAATATGCAATTCCTTGCCAGGTATCTGTTTTAGCTTTCTTCCAGATTAATTCTCCAATGCTGTTGTCTTGACAACATCGGCACCAACTCTAATGAAGAGTGATTGTATGTCTCTGTCAGTAATACATTAATAACGTGATATGTTTTATATTTCCGAATTCCTAACTGTTCTAGTGGAACTTTATCACCTGATGAATGTAATTTACTTTATCCACTTCAAACTCATCACAGGTTTTAGTACTCGATTAACACAGGCAAATAAATTATGTAGCTAAATTCTGTTAAGTGGTCAGTAGTACATACACTTATGTAAAATGATTTAAATTGTAGATGATTCACTTTCATCGTGATTTTCTTTTCACTCCATCTTCCTTTTGTCCCTTATTTTATAGATAAGAAATATGAAACTGTTATTTTGCCAATTTTCGGACTTCCAACACCATTTCACATCAGCACAATAAAGAATGTCTCTACGTCTATTGAAGCTGACTATACATATTTACGTATAAATTTCCATCATCCTGGTGCATTAGTTGGCGCAAAAGATTCAGCCAGTTTTCAAGTTAGTTTATTTTTCTATAGATTGAAAAAAAGGTTTCTATCTTCCATTATCAACTAAATGCATACAATTGTGAATCCTTGAGAAAGACTAGTTTGTCAAATTTAAGTCATCTGCGCTTATGATATTAGTTTATATTTAAAGGTAATGTTGAACGAAGTGAGTGAAATGGTCTAACGCATTAGATAATAAAATACGTAACGAATAAATACTCCGACAAATTACTAAGACTTTCTATGAACTCTTTGAAGAATGAAGTTTCTTCTCTTAATTTTTATCTCGTTTTAATAGTTACACTCATTTACTTAGTCTTGTTTTTCATGTTTAGTACAGCAAAAATATTTGTCAATCATTCAAAATGTGATGTATAAGTTCCAAACATGGCATCAGTCCATGAAAATACTGACTTGAACTGAACCATATAGGTAGGTGCAGACTATCATCTGATTGTGGTTCGCATGATTATGGTAAACAACAGTCAGAAAATTTAGGTGACATTGATCGGAATCGTTTGCAGTGGTGAAGGTGCGCTCATTATTTGTCTCCTCTTAGAAACTGAGTTTCTTAATTTATAAAACTTTCTTTATTTCACAAATTCATATTTCCTGGAATTTTTTCGTCAACATCTAATCTGATCTATTATTATTAATATCTATACTATTTCTACTACGTTGGGATTCACCTTGACAATTTCATATCACTGTGTTAATAAACTTGATACACATGTACCAGGTTCCAGGTTGTATATAACTGACTGAGTTCCAGCATTGTTATTGTCAGCTAGCTGATCTCAAGTCCGAAACTTCCCCAACCTATTTAGTGTTAAAACAATCAGAGGGCTTTTTACCGACCTATCTTTTTATACAATTCAAAACCTGCGTAGTTTTTAAGATCAGTATTTTTACGTTAATTACATTAAAAAATTTTCCCTGTACAACTTAATTTTGTTCTAGAGTCCTGAATCAACTTATGTAAAAGAGATGACTTATCGTGCTTCAAATGTACGTCGACATGGTGAAGCTAGTATACCATCGACCAATTTAAATAATGCTTATCGTATAATTAAAGAAGTATTGAAGCGTTTTCGATCACGTGAAGCGGAAGAGAAAGAACGTGCAAATCTTGTAGAACAAGATGACTTGGTTGTAGATCACGCTAAAGGTTCTTTTCGTTTGAAAGATTTATACATTCGTCCTAATGTTGCATCGAAAAGAATAACAGGTATTTGTTACTATATTTGTATCACTGTATGTATGTATCCATGTATGTGTTTGAGCAGTTTCCCAAACTCTTAAAAATTATTCAACCTAATGAATGTGTTCTTCTCTTAACGTGTTTGTAGTATTATGGGTATTTTAAAATATTTATATAACCCTTATTACATGGTTTACTAAGTTGCTATTTCTATGTGCTATTTGTTGATCGGAAAGGGTAATTGATATTAAGTACCAATCCAAGTAAATTACCGTACGTAGTTTTGATTGATGTATAGTGCTCTACTGTCAAAAGAATTGACAAAATGATGAATATGGAATATTGCTTGTTATTATCGTTACCATCATTTACATGTCGTCCATATTTACCTATTTTTCGTTAGGTACACTAGAGGCTCATTCAAACGGTTTCCGTTTCACTTCAGTTCGAGGCGATCAAGTTGATATTCTGTATAATAATATTAAACATGCATTCTATCAACCGTGTGATGGAGAAATGATTATTTTACTGCATTTTCATTTAAAGGTATGTCAACAGGTACTTTTACGATTGTTTGAAGTCGTCGTTTCAAATGATCTGTTTGTAGTAACCAGTTTCATGCTTTTAATTTATCAAGATTTTTCTCTGGACATTCTTAAGCCATAGTTATTTATCAAGGAATATTCTTACAGTTGTTACTCTTACATGTCACCTGTCTCTAACGGTTTACTTTTTACTGCATTTATGATTATAGATGTAGGGTTGTGAGTAATCTTTCACCAGTAATTCTGGTTATATCTTTTTCTGAGTAATGTGTACTCTGGTAGTTGATTCGCTTCACTTTCCAACTGGTTACTGACAACAACTTCATCTTTAGATATTTTTTAATGAAAAGGAATCTAGCTCAGCATCACAGTTTTATTGTACGTATCACAAATATTTCACACATAAACTAATTATTCATAACCATATTATATTTGAAAGTACTTACTATTCATAGCCATCTGGCGATAATTTCTGGGTTTTTATTCACTGAATAAAAGTGTTTTCTTAGTCTTCAAAAGCACTTTACATCCAACCACTGGGACAGACTTCTGAATTCGACTCTGAGTCAGCTAATATCATGTCATAAAATAGACTTTAGAGCAAAGAGTATACACCTATACTATTACTCCTTGGTAATTAGGTCGTTTAACTCAATTCTAAACACCTCTACTATTTAAATACTTATTTTTAGTATGAAATAAGTTCCGACTTTTCTTTTCCCTTAAATCTGTAGAATGCAATTATGTATGGCAAGAAAAAGCATACCGATATCCAGTTCTATACAGAAGTTGGTGAATTAACCACAGATTTGAGTAAAACTCACTCTCGTATGCAAGATCGTGATGATTTAGAGGCAGAACAAAGAGAACGTGAAATGAGAGAACAAATTAAAATGGCATTTCGTTCATTCGTGGATAGATCTGAGAATTTAGCGCGTCGATATGATCTAGAATTTGAAACACCATTCCGTGAACTTGGATTTCATGGATGTCCTTTCCGGTAGGTTGTTGGATTATATATATGATCCTAGTGTTTACGGGATATGTCATTTTCCTACTGTGCCTTGGCTTGTTTGTTTATGTTAATAATTTATTCTACATGTTTTTTCACCTTACCACTTTTATTAGATAGAGTTCGCCATCAAACACACCGTCTTATGACACATAGAACTGAAATTTCATGCAAAATTTACTTTTCCCGACGAATTGGAATTTCTTTTGATAAGTCATCTATCGGAATCATACATAATCGTACTGTTTAGCGTAATGCGAAAGTTTCAACTATTTGATCTGAAAGCTTATTTGTCACATAAATTGTCAACGTTTAATCCAATTTGTCATGTCTTTCATTAGATATTTAATGAAACTTCATAGATGTTTATACACTGATGGTTAAGATACACCTCTTACATGTATGCTGATGATACCTTTTGAAAAGAAATTGATTTCTAATACTTAACCTGACAATTGAAACAGTGTATTTGGTATATGGCTAGCAGTAGAATCCATCCCATTCAGAACTTGTCATTTGGATGCACTCGTATGTAAAGTATATACTCTTCATCTAAATCCAAGATACTCCGGTTAAAATTTTCAAAAATAACTCTCCATGAATAATTCTACTATGTATATAACTAGTAAGTGGAATCACTGGGCGACTAAGAATCGGTTACTATGGGACCGATACGTTCACCTTTTGAGTTTTTAAATTCTGTTGTCTTTTAACTCTCAAATTCATGATCTTAAAGCCATAGTATCTCTGTCCAATCGTTTTAATATCACTGATGCTATTGATACACTGGGATTTGTCTTCATAATTTTATCTCTGTGCTGATATGGTGTGTACATATTTGCCAGATTTTACGTTGTGTATGAAGGTGGCTATCCATAGTTAACATTTTTAAAAAATCACATGACGTCTACTCTCGATTAGGAAAAGTGTTCAAATGATATTATTCTGATAATCCTGAAAATCTAATTGTTCCTTTTATTATCACTGTTGTTTTTACTACTTTTTTCGTTATAGATCAACTGTACTACTGATGCCTACAAGTAGTGCATTAATAAGTGTTGTTGAATTACCTGCATTCGTGGTTACATTGGATGAAGTTGAATTTGTCATGCTGGAACGTGTCAGCTTATCGATTCGTACATTCGATATGGTGTTTGTATTTAAAGATTATCATAAAAAACCAGCGATGATTAATTCAATACCGAGTACTGCTTTGGAACTGGTTAAAGAATGGTTACTGTAAGTCGTAATTTTTGAGTGATTTTATTGACTTGCATACATTTTTAATTTGTGTACTGCGAATTGTTAAATCTTGATAAGATGATTATATATTAAGGAGTGACCTACGGTAAATTCTTTTACAAACGATTGAGGATTCTCCCAAATACGACGCAACTAATTACAACTTGTATAAATTGAACGTTTGTCACATAAAAACCTTTCAACATTAGTAATCCACACTAACAGAGAGTATGAGACTTTCAGAGCAATTTCATACTTTTTACAGAAGTTAAAAATTGGGAAGGAATAACTCTGTTTATGTAGAAACCTGCAACGATCTTCAAAGTTAGTAAACTAAAGGCAATAACAACCTATCAGATAACAGCAAAGGTTTTTACGGGAGTATAAATTAAGGAAGTGGTATTGAGATTACCCTTCGAAAAAAGAACGAACATTTAATAGCAAAATGTAAATAACCTGAGGTCTCTTTAGCACTTATAAACTGTATAGCTGTATACAATCTAAACATCACTTCCCCTCTTATTTTGGGCTCACCAGCTGGATATATATGTAACTGAGTGTTGATGTTCACTTACTTACTTACTTACTTTCGCCTGTTACTCCCAATGGAGCATAGGCCGCCGACCAGCTTTCTCAAACCCACTCTGTCCTGGGCCTTCTTTTCTAGTTCTTTCCAGTTCTTGTTCATTCTTCTCATGTCTGTCTCTATTTCTCGGCGTAATGTGTTCTTTGGTCTTCCTCTTCTCCTTCGACCTTCAGGCTTCCATGTGAGGGCTTGTCTTGTGACACAATTGGGTGATTTCCTCAAAGTGTGCCCAATCCACTTCCAGCGCTTCTTCTTGATTTCTTCCTCCGCTGGAATCTGGTTTGTTGGCTCCCACAGTAACTTGTTGCTGATAGTGTCTGGCCATCGGATCCGAAGTATCTTGCGTAGACAGCTGTTAATAAACACTTGTATCTTCTGGATACTGGCTTTCGTAGTTCTCCACGTCTCTGCCCCATACAGAAGAACTGTCTTGACATTTGTATTGAAAATTCTAACCTTGGTGTTGGTTGACAATTGTTTTGAGCTCCAGATGTTCTTCAGTTGTAAATATGCTGCTCTTGCTTTGCCGATCCGCGCCCTCACATCTGCATCTGATCCACCGTGTTCATCAATGATGCTGCCCAGATATGTAAAGGTTTCCACATCTTCCAAAGCTTCTCCATCAAGTGTAATTTGATTGGTGCATATTGTATTGTATCGGAGAGTCTTGCTTTTCCCTTTGTTTATATTGAGACCTACTGCTGCTGAGGCTGCTGCTACACTGGTCGTTTTCTCCTGCATTTGTTGTTGCGTTTGTGATAGAAGAGCCAGATCATCCGCGAAGTCTAAATCGTCAAGCTGCATCCTGCCTGTCCACTGTATCCCGTGCATTCCTCCAGATGTTGACGTCTTCATAATCCAGTCGATCACCAAGAGAAAGAGAAAGGGTGAGAGTAAGCAACCTTGCCTAACACCGGTCTTTACCTCGAACGAGTCGGTGAGTTGTCCTCCGTGGACAATTTGGCAGTTTAGTCCATCATAGGAGTTCCGTATGATATTGACTATCTTCTCAGGCACGCCGTAGTGTCGAAGAAGCCTCCATAGTGTCGTCCTGTCCACGCTATCAAATGCCTTCTCGTAGTCGATGAAGTTGATGTAGAGTGATGAATTCCATTCGATTGATTGTTCCACAATGATCCGCAGAGTTGCGATTTGATCTGTGCACGATCTATCCTTACGAAATCCAGCTTGTTGATCTCGAAGTTGGGCGTCCACGGAATCCTTCATCCTGTTTAACAATACTCGGTTGAAGACTTTTCCTGGTATTGAGAGAAGAGTGATGCCCCTGTAGTTGTCGCATTTGCTCAGATCACCTTTCTTTGGTATCTTGATGAGTAGTCCTTTTTTCCAGTCTGTTGGTACTTGTTCTTCGTCCCAAATCTTACTGAAGAGGATGTGGAGTATCTTGGCAGTTGCTGCTACATTTGCTTTCAGTGCCTCTGCCGGGATGTTGTCTGGTCCCGCTGCTTTGCCACTCTTGATTTGTCTAATGGCCATGCTAATCTCTTCAATTGTTGGTGGGCCAATATCGATTGGGAGGTCTGTGGGTGCTGCTTCGATGTTGGGTGGGTTCAGTGGAGCTGGTCGATTCAAGAGTTCCTTGAAGTGTTCTACCCACCTGTTTCGTTGTTCTTCAATATCGTTGATTACTTTGCCTTCCTTGTTTTTCACTGGTCTTTCTGGTTGACGGTAATTTCCAGCAAGTTTCTTTGTTGTATCATACAGTTGTCTCATGTTTCCCTCTCTTGCAGCCTTTTCCGCTGTCATCGCTAAATCTTCCACATATTTACGTTTGTCGGTCCTGATGCTCCTCTTCACTTGCTTGTTTGCCTCTGTGTATTCGGCTTGTGCCTTGGCTTTTTCCGCTCTTGTTCGGCTGATATTGATTGCTACCTTCTTGTTCCTCCTTGCTCCAATTTTATCCAGTGTACCAACAGTGATCCATTCCTTGTGATAGTGCTTCTTTTGGCCCAGAACCTCCTGACATGTTGAAACGATTGCCTCCTTGATACCTTTCCAGCTGCTCTCTATGGTGGTTCCCTCTCCATTGAGTAGGTCATGAAAGGCCTGGAACCTGTTGCTGAGGGCTATGTTAAATTCGTTGAGTTTGTCAGCATCTCGAAGAAAGGCCGTGTTAAACTTTTGTGATGTTGTCCGCGCCGTTGTCCACTGCTTCTTGAGTTTTAGTTTCATCTTGGCGACCAGCAAATGATGATCGGATGCTATATCAGCTCCTCTTCTGGTTCTCACATCCTCCATCGTCCCTCTGAACTTTTTGTTGATGCAGACATGGTCGATTTGATTTTGTGTAGTGTGATCCGGTGAAATCCAAGTGGCTTTGTGTATGTTTTTGTGTGGGAATATGGTGTCACCTATGACCAGTTTATTGAAGGCACATAGGTTTGCAAATCTCTCACCGTTTTCGTTCCTTTCTCCCAGTCCATGTCGTCCCATGACGTCTTCGTATCCAGTGTTGTCCTTTCCAACCTTGGCATTGAAATCTCCCATTAGAATGATCAGGTCCTTGGTTGGGCACTTCTCGAAGATTGACTGCAGCCTATCGTAGAATTGGTCTTTAGCGTCTTCATCGTAGTCGTTGGTCGGCGCATAGCATTGGATGATGTTCATTGTAATGCCCTCTCTCTTTGTTCTGAAGGAGGCTTTGATGATCCTCGGTCCATGAGATTCCCATCCTATAAGTGCATTTTGTGCTTTTCTAGACAGCATCAGTGCCACTCCTTGTGTATGTGGGGCATTTTCTTCTTCATGACCGGAGTATAAAAGAAGTTCCCCTGAAGACAGTCGTTGTTGTCCAACCTGCGTCCAATGTGTTTCACTGATTCCAAGCACTTCCAGGTTGTATTTCCTCATTTCCGCAGAAATTTGGAAGACTCTGCCGGTCTCCCACATTGTCCGGACATTCCATGTACCTATAAAAATTGTCGCTCTGGTTGTAAGAAGGTGCATCGGCCTCATGACTTCCGAAGGAACTCGGCTTTCATCATGAGACGTCATTTTTCCTTCTACTCCCAGGGCAGAGTTTGAATGGTTTGAATGATTTTTTCTGGTTAGCGTTTTTTTAGCGAGTTGATTTTCTACGGGATGGGGTCGCTAACCCCATGCCCAACCCTCCTCCTTTACCCGGGCTTGGGACCGGCAGTAGCCCCTGGAGGAGCTACAGGCGGAGTTGTTGATGTTCACGCTGGTACTCAAATTCGGTCTCATTCGTTTGAGACATTGAACGCACCACCCATTGATGTACTAAATTATTCAACAAGTAAGATGGGAACAATTCATCTGTTTTATAAAACATATTATAGAATGGCTATATCGAAGCAAGTTACACAGAATAGAGATATACCAATGAAAACTAATCGGAATTCAGTCCTCAATATTAACTATGGGTGACGTAAAATGTTACTAATAATGTATATTTTTGTAACACACTGGTAGGTTTATCATTTATGCAAGCATTATGAGATATGGTTGACGCTTCAATCTAACCATTAAGGTGCTGTAGTACAGCTTGGTTAAGCTAATTCGTGTTGTAAATGGTGTGTATTTGCTATGGTGTTTGATGTCTGGTTCTGGTACTGATATACAAGCTCTGTTTACGTGAACTCGAACCTGTTACCTGAGTGAGAAAAGTTTTAAACCAAGTCGAGAGATATATATACGCTTATATATATATATATCCCTTAGATATTTAAGCCACATATTCAACCAAAGGCGTTTCTCGTTCCTTATTAAACAGCTCAACTTTTGACTAGTCGCGTGCGCCCATGTTTAGGTTGTTCTCTGACTATCTCACTTCTATTTTCCTAGAATTAAAAGGTAATCCAGTAACTCGTAACAGTATTGTAACTTATTTACTCGATATATGGATGCAAATAACACTACTCGATTGATCAAATCAAAGTAAAACGTAGTTGAAACCTGACCGAACTTGTTAGTTGAAACTCTACTATTTCAACTTGGAATTCATTGTTTTTAAAGCAGCTACATTTAACGGTGTTTTATTTTCAACGATGATTTCTTTTTCTGTAAAGAAATAAAGTTCAACAAACGAATGTAAACCGTTTTCTTATTAATTATCGTTTAATTATGAATGAATAGTTTAATATTCATGTAAAAAATTGATGCAAGAAATATCATTTATCTTATTAACAAAAAATATTCATATGCATCATAGATCGTGTGATATCTTCTATGCCGAAGCGTCAAAATCACTTAATTGGCCCAAACTAATGAAAACTATTCTTGATGATCCAGAAGGATTTGTTGAACAAGGAGGTTGGTCATTTATATCACCAGATGAAGTGAGTGCTGTTATATACAAGTATTTTCATTTTTTTCTCATGTCAATTCATTTTCATTCATGTGTGACTTCATTTCTGAGTGTTTATCTTGGTTTATTGAGAAATTCAGTATAAAATTGGTTCACAACAAAACTTCACACTTTTATTCATTAAAACTGTTAGGAATAAATAATCCGAACTTATATGTAGTTTTATGGATTGTCAGTGTTAAATGATTTGTTGAGATGTTTGAAAATGTCATTACATTGCCTTCTTATGGAAGTCACATTGATATATATTCAGCTAGTTGATGAGTTTTGAATGTAAACATGTTTCTAATCCTTATTTGCTCATTTTTCTTGCGTAAACCACCACAGAAAACACTGGAGTGATGGTTTATGTGTTAAGGAGCTTAACTTTAAACCGCTTAGTCCCAGGTTCGAACGTAAGGTGATACTCTGCTGATCAGTTAAATGTTACCCTCAATCTCTAGTTCAGGCTTATAACATATACGGGCTAAAAATACCTCAATTCTCATCACGTAAGAGTAAACAAACAGGCGAAAAACCAAAGACGTAAAGATATTGTTAGTCGTCAGTATAGAAAATTTTCGGTCAGAGGAAGATATCAAGGAAGACTGGTCTGATTAGCAGGTAAAAAATATCACACTATATGAACAATTTAAAGTGCTGTCGACTAAGTATATCTGTACTGATTTTCATCTATTTTTAAATCCACCATTCAAAGTCTCCAGGATTCGGATAACAGTTATTTCATGGATTCAAACGAGAGACATCTTCCTCTAAATATAGTGCATCATTAGTTAATAGCTTCATCAAATGTCACAACCTAATCCATCTACTTACATGCCATTTTCACACTATACTTTGCACTTAGCATCAAGTCACCTGTTGGTTATTATGTACGTGATCAATGTCCGGGTAACACAATTAGATATTTGTTACATGTTTCTCACATATAAAGTGGGACAAAGCGTACTGTAGCACTAGGCAGATAAACATTTCCCTACTGACTGCACAGTTTGGTGTAGGTTGACATCAGACAAACTGATCTAATATTCGTGACGGAATTTCATCAAAATTAGGTGCAACAACGCAGGAGTTGTGGTACTGATGAACTTCAAAGAGATTACCGTCTCATATTTAGATACTTAGTAGCCTTACAGACTTCAGCTATACCTTGGAAATTGGTATCAAGAGAAAAAACATCCAGCTTCCAGGCTTCCAAAACTTTATAGTTATAGAGTGTTGGATTACCAACATCACATAATAGTAATTTGATTTTTTTTATTGATAACATGTATCCGTTTATAACGAGAAACGTAACAGAAGTACCAACCACTCAAAAAAATCTGGATGTGTCCTATATAACAACATTTACTTATATCATACTCCTATCATACTATTCTGATTGATTCGTCTATGCATTATATGATTGTGTTATTTATATAATCTATCTTTCTGATATTTTTGGTCATACGCAACATGAGACCTTCCACATGTACACTGTCTCAAGTGGCCACACGACATTAACACAGTAAGATGAAATTATCAAGAAAAATCAGAGTAGTAACAGTATTAGAGGTAGTAGAAAAGATGAGTTAGAAAAAAAACACTATAAGAGAGGTTTAACACACATGGTCTAAGATACAGATAATGAGTAGATGCATCTCCGCCATTCTGAACCAAGTCATCCAACACCTTCGATTTCGGGTTACAATAATCACACTCGGACCCCAATCGTATAGTTTGTAACCATTTAAATGGTTCAGTTCACCAGTTAGTGTCTTCGTGAACTGATGCTGTCTTGTCTTAACCACTTCTAGCCTTCTTTCAACCTTCTCTTACTCCAGACGACATCACCCGTTTAGGTAGATGGTGCTTAAGAATATGTAATACATATTTCATTCACCTTAGTCAATGAAGATTCACTACCTGGCCAGTTGACGAAGAACATATATTGTCCGTTGAACCTAGTAATAATTGGTGTACTTAATACGTTACTTATCATAGAACTATTTTATGTATCACTCGTTGATACATTTTTTATTCTTTTGAAATAGGATGACGATGAAGATGAAGAGGACACGGAAGATGAAGATGAGAATTATGCACCGTCAGAAAGTGAGCTATCTGGCGATGGTGAAGAAGATGGAAGTGGTGATGAGTCTAGCGATGATGATGAGGATTGGGAAGCTGAAGAAGAATCGGATGAACCAGAAAGTTTAGACTCAGATGAGTCAGAAGGAAAAGATTGGGATGAATTAGAAGAAGAAGCTAGAAAAGGTTTGTGTCAAGTCTATAATTATTTTGACTGAGTTAAATTAATAAATACTCCGATTTGGACAATCTGGTAAAGTACTACAAGCCCTCATTAAGACTGTAGCTAAAAGTTCGAGTACCCTAATTCGAGGATATTTTATGGGAACAAATGAGTTTGGTTAATCGGACACTGAATTCGTGACTGATATTTCAATTCCTATTAGTCTCTATTTTGTATACCCCTAATTGTTCAGAAGATTCAACTGCGTTTTTATTTCTAATGCTAGTTTAGTTACATGGATGATTCTAAAAACATTTGGGAAGAAATGGTAATATTAATTACAATTTTAGTATATGACTGATCCAATTAATTGAAGACATGGTTTCAACAATTTTTGGATTTTACTTAAAACTAACAAACAGCGTTAAACAGCTAGAAATATTTGAAGGTTATTTCACTACTTTTTAACATACTTCTTGAATTAATTATTGACATAAACAGCGATAGATAGTGGCTAGCAGTGGAATCCAGGCCGCTATCTGGACTCAGTAGTTAAGTAAACAACACGATGGCGCTTGAAGCGAACGGCACTTGGTTCGAGTCACAGAGTGAACATCATCTCTAGGAAGCAGGCTTATTCAATTAACAAGTCACAAACAGGACGAGACGCGCGTCCTGGATTTCACTGCCATCCATTGTCTATCTCTGCTAACAATGCTCGTCACTTACGACAATCTGCACAGAATCCACATATGCCAAAAGAGACAGATCAGTTCTAGACCCAAACACCAATGGGAAGATTCAAACAACCGATACAAATGAATTAAATTGTTGGCATCTTTTTACAGAATATCATTCGACTTTGATTAATATGGATTTCATTATATAGTTTGTTTTCAGCGCATATATTTTATCTAAGTTTGACGAAGTGAATTACCTTGTTAGATTTCTATTTGAATCCTTTGTCTACACTATCCCTTTCCCTATAATCTGTCAAACTTCATCATATATTCCAAATATCACTATGCACTGCAGTTTAAGAAACCAAGTAGTATAGCAAATCCGTGTGACATGTACGTGACTTATATTGAAATATATGTGTTTTCCCATGGGTTACTTTGTTGTTTTAATTGCTTATTGAAGTTTTCAATAAATCCTATCATTACTATATAAATTATCTTTAATTAAACGGTTGTAACCTTGCAAATGTATTCTTCTCACATTTGTACTACTTAGCTTATTTCCTTTTTTTCTTACAGAGGATGCTAAAAATGAAATATCCGACACAGTGCAACCAAAGAAACGTCAACGAGCTGATAGTCCATCACCAGTATCTCATAAGAAATCTCGTCATGGAACAAAATCGCCAAACAAGAAAAATAAACGTTGATGAATACCAATTTATTTAATTTTATTAAACAACTGCCGGAGAAGCATTTTTCTTGGAATATCTCCTAGTTATTAATGTATTGTACAAAAGAATGTTTACTAAATATTAACGTGCGCAATCTTCTTACTAAGAAAAACAGATTTATAAATCTATTGTTATTATTATAATGTATGTATCATTATTTTCTCGTGTCAAATTTATTAATATACTGTTTAAAATTCATTATATATATGTACCTAAATTTATTATCTTTTGGCAAATGGTACTTGATATTTGTTTTGTTTTCGTATCGGGTTTTAACAGCACATATTTCTGACTTCATAAATTAGTACCTTAGGACATTTAGGTTTTATAATAAACAGTTTACTATTTATTTATTAGGTTATATTTCCATCTTTTTTATTCGCCAATTTTAACTGGGCAATAATTCCAGTTCTTCTTCAATCGATTCCGTCACTGAGTATATATATCCACGTTCATCATGGTTGTTTCCATTAACAGCAGTGATATCGTGTATAACTATCTGATTCTTACATCATGATGTGTAAATTTCAAGCGTATTTTTGAGAAACCATGTTCCGGCAGCTGCATTTGCTCCCATCCAATGGCTCTTATTCTTAAATCCCTAGTTGTGCTACGATATTCTTTAGTCTGAACTGATTTAAACTAGTCACACATTACAATAACATGAAGCTCAGTAAAAATGGACAAATTTAGATATAAGGAACCAGTAATTGAGAAAAGTTCAAGTGAAATGTCCATGATTTAAAAAATGATAGATAGTTCTCATTTGTACAGTTGTCATATTAAAGCACACACAGCGATGTAATAGAATTTCACCATTGATTCCGAACTCCACAGTTTAATAGTACGTTGCTTGTCGCAAATTACCACAGTCCTGTGTAAGAGTGCACAATCCAGATTGGTTTTCGACATGGAGATTTGCTACTTCGTTATATAGATTGAACGAGTAACAAACGGTCTTGTTAGTCGGCTAAGACCGAATATATCTGCTATTCTGAACCAGGTCATATCACTTACTCACGCCTGTTACCCCTCATGGAGTAGCACAGGCCTCCCACCAACATTTTCCATCCAACCCTGTCCTGGGCAGTACTTTCCCGCTGTTATTAAGCCTTCCCATATCTGCTTCTATTTCCCGATGTAATGTGTTCTTTAGCCTTCCTTTTCTCTTCACGATTCCAAGTTAGGGCTTGCCTCGTGATGTAGTTTGGTGATTTCCTCAATGTATGTCCTATCCACTTCCAACGTCTTTTCGTGGTTTGTTGGACAGCATCATTGTGACTACCTGTATATGTGAAGCGTACTCTTCCTCGAGACCAGATTGTCCATACATTCGTGACTTCCGAAGAATCTTGACTTTCACTATGAGGCGTCATGATCGTTCAACTCCCGGGGTAGATATCAAATGGTTAAAACTGTTTGTCAAGTAAAATTCATGATTTACATTGGCCTCAAAGTTTGATTTTATTTTAACTTATTCAAACCAATGAAATTCAATAAAAATAATGAATATTCCTGAAAACAGCAAATTGATAATTGAAACGTATGAGTTTAAGGACTTAATCAAAGTAGTATTTTTCAAATGTTCTTGAGTGTCTTAGTTACGCATCAAACTGTTGTTTTCCTACTTATCGGTGGAGGGACAATTGAAAAATCTAGTCACTAGGTTGTAGAGTTATTTTGTCCAGTAATCCCGGCTTGGACTAAATCAATAATCCTTGGCTTAAGAAATGTTGAATGCCATCATTGATGGATAATTTTACTCGGGATATAAGTTGCGTAAGATTACTTGGACAAAATATAACTTCGAAACTTTCTAAAAATGCCTTGGCGATACACAAAACTGACTTGGAAACCTTTGTGTTCACATGCTCTCTTCAGGCAAGCGTAGCACAGTTATGGAAGGTCAATCATTAACGCGGATACTATGAACTTCAAAGCATGGAATTAAAATTTCATTTGAAAAAAATTCTTTGACATGCTTTCCCTGTATATATATATATATATATATATATATATATATATATAACGGATGAAGTTCTTTAGTCGATAAACAATGTTTGCACAAAAGCGTGCTCCACGGATGTAATAAAACTCCAGTCGTAAAATGATTGACAAAGCATACATTTACCTAGACAGGAAATATTTTTTTTAAATTCCTTTTCGGATTTGTAGGCTGTAGTTTAAAATTATGTATGATGGTTCATTAATTTTTATTTGCTGTGTTTCTAAATTACTGAAAGAAGCATGGTATATATGCAAAATCCACGTGGATACGTATGGTTCGTTGATAAGCTGATCCCAGTCTATTTGAGATTTACATAATTTTTGCAAGAGAAGTTTAACAGTAAGACAGACTGGAGAGATTAAACTCAAGGGATCGGACAGTAGATAGAATACCTCTCTTTGTCAAAGGCTTTTCCGGGGCATCAAAGTAAAACTTAAATACATCTCGTTTGAAATTCCATTCTTTACCTAGAGTTCGATTAGTGGCATCATAACTCGTTGACATTTCTATCAAAGACCTTCTTTGCATAGATCATCTTTGGATAGATGAAGTAAAAATCCGTTCAAAAGATAATACTTCGTTGCTTTATAACACAAAGTGTTTCCCATTTTGAAAATGTGCTTCAATTCTCAATCGAAATGCACAATCCCAGTCAACTCAAGCAACACAATCAAAGGGGAGAACAATCAATATGCCTGCCGCAAAGATTAAATGTCAACTAAAACAACATAAATACAGTTCCGGGAGAAACATAGAAACTCAGTGAAGGCATAAGAAAAGCGGGAAAACTATAGTAAGATAAGATATTACAATTTCAAATGGCATCGAAAAGACTAACAAAATGAACAACTAAAGAAACCAATAAGAACAAGTTGCAAATGCATGCATAGAGGGATTCCACACACAAAACCTTCAAAATGGACCTTCCAACTTATATGAGTATAACTAGTGTTATAAGTTATATGATACTGGTCAGATTATATGTGTTTCACAGATGGTGGGGACAGATAGCTATACTAAATATATGAGTGTTTTGAATTGTTATATCTTCGGACTAAGAGAACAAAACACTGAACAAGTCACAATAATTTAGGATATTACGGGTTTCTTATGATCGGTCATAGTTGATCAACATCCATGAGATTGATGAATATTCTGTCTACACGCAACAGAAAACAAAAGACATGACGATTAGGAGCTTACATCTATCTGTATAATTGAGAGTGAAGTCACATCCTAGCAGTTGATATGTGAAGCACATTTGAACATGTTCTACCTTATGTTGTCTGTGATATTCACGTTTAAGAAGATAAAAAAGCAATATTCAAAGGAGGGTCGTGTAAATATTTTGCAAAGGGTGAGCTTAGCCTCTGTTATTATTATTATTATTCACAAACACCTTATGAGTACATAAGTGCTGTGAAGAAATCATTTCGGGTTTCTTCAAAAATGCAATAATACACAATTTTCAATAATGTTAGCATTACATTTGCCATGTTTGAGAAAGGAAAGAAAAATATTAATAATAGTAATAATAAATCAGGTTCTGTGTAATTGGCAAGAATTTTGATTTGATTTTGAAGGAGGAAAGGAAGAAACTAAGGGAATAGAAATAAAGGAGACGCGGAATACGTAAATATCTTAACACAGAACAAGAATAAACAACTATGTATGTATGGTAAAAACGAGTAATAAAAATAAAATAGAACAGATTGAATTAATAAGTAAATAACTTATTATTGCGGTAAGATATGACGTTAGAATAAGTGTTTGTGCCTGCACAGTCCTAGTTTTGGGTGATGCTATGAAAGTTTCAATTAAGTGCAAAAAATAATCAATGTGTATGAGGTGTATATACATAGTGAAGATAAAACGAGTCTGATAAGTTGAATTCAGCGCAATACAAATTATTGTCTTTATCCAAAGCTTCGTAATCTTAAGAATAATATTTATTTAGAAGGGGAAAAAAGAAAAAGGGAAAAAGATCAGTTTTCATCATGAAACCAATTGTCCATCTAGATTTAGAAATAATACGGGACGCATGTTCTGCAAATTTTAGGTTTTCTGTCTAATGAATTCCTAGATCGTGTACTGATTTGAGTGTTCGGGCTTTACTTTTATTCAAGTGAATTTGCAGTTCATGTTGATGCTTTCCAAAATGCTTGATCACACACTTGTTGGGGTTAAATGGTAATTGTCATTTTTCGCTCCAGATAGTTAGGTTGTTTATGCAACTTTGAATCTGGGAGAAACTTCCACTTAGAGCTTCAGTCTTAAAGCTGTATACTACTTTGAAATCATCACTGCATAAGTAGGGTCTCTCAAATTTTATATTACATATGTCGTTTATATACATGAAAAAGAAAAGTGGACCTAATACACTTCCCTGTACAACTCCACTGGCTATTGGTTTAAATGAGGGAGAAAGTCATTATACTTTACCACTTGTTTACGTTCTGTGAAGAATGAAGCAAATCATGAAAACAGTGACTTGTTGATTTCCAAGGACTTTAGTTTAACGAGATGTATGCTGTAAGAGACCTTATCAGAAGCTTTCTTTAATTCTAAGAATATGACAGATACAAGGAGTCAATTGTTCGTTTTCAGAGTTATATCATCCAGGAAGTCTACTAGACATGTATAACATGGTCTGAACCTAAAAGCCACGCTGGGGGTCGGGATGAAATTATAAAAAATTTGATGTTAAACTACATCTACCTTAACTACATTTTCTGTCACTCTAGACAAAATTGAAGCTATGACTGTGGGTTGGTTATTTTCAATATTTGCTATTTCAATTGTTTTACACTCGACAAAACTTTCTTACTTGCTAATGTCCCTAAAATCATACATTCGTCCTACTCACATCCCGGTATAAATGTCAGCTGTATAATGTAAAGAGATCTGGATATACTCCAAGGCTGGTGTGATACATGGCTTCTCTCATTTATTACCGAATAATGTGGTCACATTTATTTCAGCACGTTTAAACCGCAGATGAGTGAGCATATGAACAAGCTGAGATTTAGACAATTTGATAGCACCTGAAATTGGTAATAAAATATTCAAAAATTCCTTGAGTCGTTTAATAGGCCACATCGCAAGCCACTAAGGCTCGTAAACTTATTGAGTTCATCAACCTTAGTTTCCGTTAAGAGGAATCCAAAATAACTCTCTTTAAGGTATGTGTTTGGCCCGTACTGGAACACT